TGGGTTCTGTGTTTCATCAGGATTCAGTTCAATTTTCTGTGTCTTATTTAAGAGAGCTTCATAATCTCTTTGAGGATTTAATACTCATCCTTTTTTCTAATTTTAGCAGCCTCAATACTTATCTGAGCTCTAGGGTTTTTCCCCAGTAAATTTTTATTTATTTCATTAAATATTTCCCAATTAAAATGTTTAACATCGTTTTAAAAAATTTGAGTTCCACATTCTTTCTTTCCCTCCTACTCCTCCCTCCTCCTTATTGGGGGATCTAGTTTTCATCTGCCTTGGTCCTTACCCTAAGTGGTTTCTGTGGGAGACAAGACTGACCCAGACTAGATTTCCATTCCTTTTCATTTAGGGTGTATCAGTCACTTTTACTGGCTCCTTGCCCTACATGTCTGTCCTTCTCTCTCCTCTCCCACCCCCATGTAACTAGGCAGAATCAGTGTTTTTGCTTGTTGCTTTTGGGTGGGATGTGCTGACAGAGTCTCTACAGGAAGAACAGAATCCTTTTTTGAGTCCTGGGTGCAAACCTTTGGGTTGATCTGTCCATCCCTGCCAGAGTAGCATGGAGGCTGGTGGGGTGGGGTGCTAAGCCAGCACATTGAAGACTACAGTTCTCCAGTGTTAATTCGTAAGGCTTTTATCTTGTCCTGTGGATTTAGCTGTAATTCCTCTGCCGCTGTTGCATAATTCCTTTTGGGGGTGGGGTTGATGGGGACTGGAGAAAATGTTCAGTCCATCATCTTGTTTGGTCACATGACTAAGAAGCTGACAGATATTTCTGAGACAAATATGTTTCCTTTAGCCAAAGCAGTGTTAGGGAGAAGAATCAGTAGAAGAAGCAGGCTACTTTATGAATCCTCTTGAATCTCTTCCTCTTACTAAGTAGTTATAGGCTAGATGATATCCCACTTCTTTTTTTTTTTTAGTGAGGCAGTTGGGGTTAAGTGACTTGCCCATGGTTACCCAGCTAGGAAGTATTATGTGTCTGAGGCCGGATTTGAACTCAGGTCCTCCTGACTCCAGGGCCGGTGCTGTATACACTGTGCCGCCTAGCTGCCCCCTCCCACTTCTTTTTTTTTTTAAGTTAGGCAATCAGGGTTAAGTGACTTGCCCTGGGTCACAAAGCTAGTATCAAGTGTCTGAGGCCAGATTTGAACTCAGGTCCTCCTGATTCCAAAGCCAGAGCTCTATCTGCTACACCACCTAGCTGCCCCCCCTCCCACTTCTGGTAAGACATAATCTTCTCTCAGTAAACGATAGCTAATGATGGTGCTCCAAAAATTATAATAAAGAGATTTTTTTCCCTCTGCTAAGAGCTAATAGATAACATAGTATTTGGCCCCTCAATGCCGGATTCTGAAGACTGAAGCTATGATGTGGCCTCTATAAATATCTGTTGATAGGGGGAAAAAAAAGCTAATAGTTTTAAAATCCTCCTCAAGCTATACTGAGGTTCCTGGCCCAGAAGATTCAAACATGAGAGGCTGATGTGAAATTAGGGTAGAAAGAGGTACATCCTTGCTAGACCTAATGTGCCTTTGCTCCAGTAATTAACACTCCTCCAAACAATCTAGATTTCATCAAGAAACTCAGCCTTGAGTCTTTGTCCCCATGATAAATGAAGAGATTTGTAGCTTTGAATTCTCTGTAGCCAGAGCTAAACTTGAGATGTTTTCAAGCTAAGAAAGGAACTCACAGAGTGACTCTAGTTGGATGTGTAGAAAACTTGATAATTTTTCTCATTTGTTCAGAATTCTTTCAGTGCAAAGACTGCTAAGTTTGAATCCTAATCTACTTTTCCCCATGTATGTGACCTTGGACAAGTCATTTTAGCCCTCTGGGCCTCAGTTTCCTCATCTGTAAAATGAAGAGGTTGGATTTAAATGACATCTGAGGTACCTTCCAGCTCTAAACCTGTGATCCTTAGGAATCTCTTTAAAATATATTTGAAGTTACTACGAACATGCTAATCTTTGTTAAAAAAAAAAGTCAAATGCCATCTATGATACTGGTTTGCTATAGGCCAAGAAGGCAGATAAGAAGTGGAGGCACCAAGGATGCCTATTGAATGTTGTAGGTGAAGTTTTCTTCTCTTGCTGATTCCCTTCTGTGCTTGCTTTGTCATGGCAGAGTATTAGGTTCCTAAATGGCTGTACCAGTTTCTACTTAACTGTCTTCAGAGCAGGGAGTGAGACTGGAACTTGAATCCCTTACAGCTCTTCCTTTGTGTAGCTGGGCCCTGTGAAATAGTCACATCTTTTCTCTGTCCCTGTCTTTATCTCTCTCTTCTGCTCCCCTTCCTCTGTCCCTCCCTCTCCTGTTCTCCCCTTCTCTCTCCCCTGCTCTTTTCTTCCTCTCCCTTTCTGTATCCCCTCCTTCCCCGTATCCCTTCCTCTCTCCTCTTCTTCTCTTCCCTCTTCCTCTCTTTTCCCTCTCCTTGCCTTCCAGCTCTCTTCCTTCTCTCCCATTCCTCTTCTCTGCTCTCCCTCTCTCCTCCCCCTCTTCTCTCCTCCTCCTCCCTCTCTCCTCCTTGCCCCTCTCTCCCCCTCCCCTTTCCTTCTCTTCCCCCTTTCTCTCTTTTCTGCTCTCTCTTCTTTTCTGTCTTCTCTCCCTCTCTTCTCTCCCTCTCCTCTCTCCCCCTTTTTCCCCCTTCCTCTCCTCTCAGCTCTTGAGATCCTACTCTTTTTTTCTTTCTGTCTCGTGAGGCTTCTTCCATGACCATGGTAACTGAGGAATCATGGGGGTCTGTTTGGATTTGATCCATACTTTCTTAGAACTGGGACCAGACTACAAAAACCTGACTGAGTAAAGTTAAGGATGGGAAATGGGGTCTAGAACAACCTTGTAGCTTTAGGTGAGGGACATAGAACATGCCCTGTAACCCCTTAGGTAGAAATTTGGCATTATTTATTTTCCCCTCTGGCTAGGCTGGTTCTCTGAAGTAGATATTCTATTCTGTATTATGTTTTGAGGACTGAGGGTTGGAAATGCTGTGTCAGGGTCTGCCCTAAGGGCATATCTGTAGGTATTCATTCTTTCTTGGTACCTTTCTCTTTCGAAGAGGGGGTTGATTGTGTTTATAACAGATGTGGCAAATGAAATGAGGAAAAGGACAGAGATCTTCTGGAGATATCCTTCCCACAGGTGGTCAATTTCATCTTGAATTTGTGCTCCCTGGTCTCATAGGCCATTGTAATCCAAAATTCTATACCAGAACACTTATGTAGGCCCATAATCTTTCTGTCTTTTTAATCATTCCTATTTTTAAAATTGTTAAATGAGAGGGTTGTCCAGTTTTTTTTAATTTGCTTTTCTTCAAGAGGCATTTATATGAGGTCTAAAGAAGAGGCTTGTTGTACAGTTCAGTTTATAGGAATATCATTTGTGATTGGAAATGGGGAGAGGAGTGGGGAAAGGAGTGAGCCATTGTTTGAAGGGTCTGACTTGGCTGATGTGATTAAAAGTGACAGTACTAGCAGGGAATCCTTCTGCCACGCATGCCACTAGATATTCACAGATGACGTTTCTATTTTTAACTTAAAATTTTTTGGGGGAAGGGGGTGGGGTCACAGTTCTAGCCCTCCCCCTCAGTGCCCATCCAGATGGTAGAATTGGGCCACAGCTGCTGAAGCTTGAGCTGCCAATGGGTGGTAGGGGTAGGGAAAAGGGAGGGCAGGGCAGTGTGCCAGCCTGGGCCCAGGGAACCCCAGCTGGGGGAAGATAAAATGATCTGTCTCCTACCCCCCCCCTTAACCGTTGTTGTCCCTGAACATAAGAAACTCCTATCAGGATTATAGATGGCTGGTTTTGGAATGCCATTGACAAAGATACTTTACTCTGGTTGAGAGATAGGGCTGGGGTAGGTTGGAGTTGTTTACCTACTCCTGTGGGAAACATTTGAAAATGTCCAGGCCCCCTTACTTTTCATCATTCTTGGAAATATTTATTAGCTGTGCTCCTTCCTAACTGCACTGCTTTTGTTCCTCATCCCATGACCACGGGCAACAAGAAGTGACACTGTCTCCTTAGGCATGGGGAATAGAAAGAAGAGATGGAGTTCATTCGCTGATCTTTAGGTCTACGGTTTACTTTCTTTTAGAACTGTTTGTTTTACGTCTGGATTAAAGCAAAGGCCCGGGAGTCATGAGTTTGGTGTCTTGTCCAGGTGGCTCCTTCTTAACATATGAGATGCCCATAGCCCTTTCTGTCTCCTGTGTGATGGTACTTGTGGGCCTTTCTTTATTCTGTGAAGAGTCCCATAGAGATTTATTGGCTAAATGGCCTGGCCCTGGGTATGAGGAAGGTATTTGTCTAATGATGGTACCTAGGTGGTTGGTAATACCATGGATAGACCATCAGGCATCTTCTTCCTTTTCACAGGGGCACAGCTTTGGTAGTTTTTTGGTCTTGAGGGTAGAACTTTCTACCCTCTAACAGAGTATAACCTGTTGTGACACTGTTTGAGACATTCCTTCTCCAGGGAACTTTTCCTAAGCATTCCTGCTAAGTCTTATTTGCCTCATGATAGCTCTAGCACTCAGGTGTATTGTTTGTACAGGTGATGGATGTGTTTGAATGCTTCCCTTTTCTCTTTGCTTATACCAAAAGTTTCCCAAAGGCAGAAAGGGTGACTTTCTGTGTATTCTTTCTCAGTACCTAGTGCGGGGCTCTGCACACAGTGACCATTCAGTGAATATGGTTGGGTAAGCTGTTCTCCCCATACCACTATAGTAGGCCCAGGAAACAACTAAGAAATTGGGAGTAAGAGGAAAATTAGCCAAGGTACTAAGAAAGAGGATTCTGTGGACTTAGATTCTGTTTCCTTTATAGCCTTAATGTCTTAGTGCTTCATGCAAGCACTGAGACTGTTGGTGCCTCTCACAAAACCTGGAAGTCAGTGGGAGTGCAGAGGGACATATCTAGCAGCTACCTCTCTGTATGAAGTGCTTGTCCCATTTCCCCAGCTGAAGCATAACATCGTTGCTTGTTGCCCCCAGACCAAGGGCCCAGCAGAGGAGGAAAAAGAGCAAAGTCAGTCCAACCTGGAAGAACCAGAGAGTGAACAATCCAGTGAGGAAGAGAGGTATGGCACATGAAATCTCACTTCAGTGGTGTGAAACAGAGAGCCTTAGCAATGACCTGGAAAGGATTCTCATCTCTGAGATGACTGCTGAGGGCTCTTGTCTACAGGGAAGAGGATGGATTCAGTAGCCTCCCAAGCTCATTTGTTGTTGCCCTAATGTTTCATGCTAAGCAGGGCTTTTTCAAAGTGGTGCTGCATGCCTTTGGAAATGACCTTGTCCATACTGCACCATTTGTGGGACCTGGGGTCTGGCCTCATTGTTGTATTAAACTGATTAAGCATCTCCATGTGCGGCATAGGGCCAAGGCTGGGATGGTCTGTGTGCAGAAGGGAAGCTACAGGGGGAGAGGGTCAGCACTGACCTCTGAAACAAGTCCCTTTGACCTCAGGAATGACCAGGGCTCACAGAGGCAGTGGTATCCCAGATATGAGCCATAGGAATCAGGGGCTTTTACCCTGGGGAAAGGCCTGTAGCTTTTAGACAGCAAAAATGGATTGATTCTGTACCTCCTTAAATTGTAACTTCATGCAGTTTTGAAAGTGACGATCCCTTGTGTAAGGTATATCATTTTCTCCCCATTTTCCTTTCCCTTTTCTCTTGGTCCCCACCTCTCTGATGTACTTTAGAATACTGGGTACACATCCACCTGCCAGTATCTCCAGTCTTCATTCACATGAAGAGTAAGTGCATCCCAGAAAAACTGGTTTGTCTAAGAAAGGGCTGTGGGAAGCCTGCCCACAAGTCAGAGAGTTGGGGGGAGGGATGTGCTGTGGCTCGTCCATAAGAATCTTCCTTCTCCCTCCCTTGCCCTGTTTGCCCTGCCTCCTTTGAGATGCTTTTCTCTGTATGTGTCTCTGTGGAGGGGGAGAGAAGGGAGCCAGGGGCTGCTGGAGGGCAGTGTGGTGCCTCAGGTGAGACTTCCTTTGCCACTGTGCTCCCTCTCACCCTCTCTCTTTGACCTAAACTGAGAGACATGGGCCCTGATGTTCTCTTCATGACTAATAGTTACCTTCTTCCTTCTGTGAAGGGAGAAAATCCAGAGCCTTTTTCATGCCCAAGAGATAGGAGAAGGGCAGCATTGTCCGGAAGGGGAGTCTGGGGAGACAGTAGAACCTGAGCAGAATGTGATGGCCAGCCCAACTTCACAGGCCTCCTCCCCAAAGAGGTAAGGCTTGGTTTGAGTCTTCTGCTGTCAATGGGGAGCTGGGGGCGGGTGTGGCACAGAGATGGCAGCCTGGAGGATGTGCTGATCTGGAGCCTGGAAAGCAAAGAGTTGGATTTAGGTCTGTGCCATGGTGAGCAGCAGGATGCCTTGATGGAAAGCTATGTAAGACACCTGTATATATGACTGGCATAGGACTTCTCTTTCTTTAAGGAAAGTAAGGAGTCTGGCCCTGTTTCTTCACCCTGCTCTGGATCTGCAATTGGTACATTTATTTTCATTAGTGGAAACTTAGAAGCTGTTGAGTTAGAAAGTACCCTTTGGTCCCCCATCTCTTCCTTCCCACAACAGAGAGGTGGTTGCAAGCATTGGCAGCTCTTTTGGTGATGCTGGGGTAGCTTTCCTTCTTCCTTATGCCTGCTGCTGGAGAGGCAGCGGCACATGGGGAAAGAGGGCTAGGCTTGAACCAGGACACTTGTGTCAGAGTCTTAGCTCTGATGCTTAGTAGCATGTGATGCTGGCCAAGGCACTTTATCTCTGAGCCTCATCTGTGAAATGGGGATAGGACTGCTTGTACTACCTCCCTTAGGGTTAGTCTGGGGAAAGTGCTTTGTAACCTTACAGAGCTCTGTACATTTGAGCTATTATTCCCTTGCTCTGTCACCACAGTATCACCACAGTACCAGTTATTTTGGCAGGACTCATTTTGGGAATTAGAGCTGGCAGTCAGAGAAGACTTCCTGTGTCAGACCAGAAAACTTGATTCAGAGACCACAGTCTTCTCTTCTTGTTCCTCTTAGAGGAACAGGAGAAGCAAGTTGTTTCTCTCAGAACTTTGAGCCTTGGCTTTGAGACCATTGGTCTTATTAAACACTTGTGATTACCTAAAAGAACTAGTATTCCATCAGTAACATCAATGAAATGTACCTGCTGTCTGCTTAGTATCTCACTAGGTGCTGTGAAATTCTGTGTCCCAGATAGTGCATGGACCTGCACTCTCTTGCTGCGTCTCACATTGCTGGGAAATAGGCAAGGAGGGGGCTAAAGACCTGTAGAAAGCCTGGCACCTGTGGTTGGGAAACTAGTGTGCCATCTGTTCCAAATCGCTTTTTGCTTTGTCCCTGAACTGAGTCCCAAGCACCCTGTCCTTATCATGCTTCTCTTACCTTCTTCCTGATACAAAAGTGAACAGATCATCAACCCCTCTAATGACCATAAGACGGAAGAAGAGCCTTATGCCACAAAGGTTGAATATGAGCAGAAAAAGGCAGAAGAACTTGAGGAGATGATGACCAGCCCAACCTTGCCAGGCTCCCGAGAAGAGTAAGGGCCAGTTTTAATCTCTCTGTTCATGTCTTTTGCATGTGGTCTGCCTGCTTGCCACATAAAGAATGGTTGTATGTGTGGAACTTTGGGATGAAAGCTCTTCCATGGGGGAGTAGGTGTGTAGGGAGGTTTGGGTGGTTTAAAGTCCTGAAGCAATTCATTGTGTCCTAGATACAACATGGGGTGCCATGCTGGAGGGAGAGGAGGAGTAATTTCTGGCCAAGCAGCTAAAAATTTTTTTTTATTAAATGATTAATTAAAAATTTAAATCTTGAACATCAGTACATTCAATTAAACTGGCTCAGTATCTACATTTAAATGAATTAATTTCATTGTATAATTTAATCATAACTTTTCAACCATTATTGGGATTCTTTGTCTATCCTCATTCTTCTGGTTCTGCTTTTCCACCTTAAATAATTTCATAAAGGCTTCTTTGTATTTCTTCTATTTGTTAGTCTTAATTGTATCATATTCTCTTACATGAATGTACTGCAGTCTGTTCAACTGTTCTCCCATTACTGGATATTTAGGTTAGCTCCAGCACTTTGCAATTACATATAATGCTGCTATGAACATCTTTGACAACTCTTCTTTTGTTTGCTTTTTTTTTTAATAACATTTTCAGGGAATATTCCCAACAGTGGAATTATTGGTTCAAAGGGTAGGATTATTTTTGTAACTTTTACTCTGTACTGCAAGAGTGCGCTCCAAAAAGATTCAGCAGATTTTCTGAGCCACCAGCAATGAATAATTGTACCTGTTTTTCCACAACTAAACTAGCATTGAGTCTCATTGCTTTTAATTATTTTTCCTGTTTGATGAGTGTGACTTGGTGCCACACAGTTGTTTTAACTTGTATCTCTTTGATTTTAATGAAGTTGAGCATTTTGCAAGTGTTTGTTAATAGCTGAAACCTTTTATCCAAAATGCTCTCAAATGCTTTGTCTTAGTTAATCCTCATAATGCTCCTGTGAAGTAGGGAGGTCAGGTATTATTTTATGCTAAAACTCCCGAGAGGCCACAAGTGTGGCATGGTAGTGGATAGTGGATCTTCTGATTTTGAAATCAGGAAGACCTGGGTTAAAATTCTCAGTCTCACACTTAGTAATTTTATGACCTTTAAGAACCATGAGCTTTTCCTGAATCATAATATTATTCACAGCATAATAATCTGTATTAGTGGAGGGAGTTCCCTGGACATCTTGACATAATAAAACTTTGCCATTTCATGCATATGTGAAATTATCTATATAGGTACTCCCTCTCCTGATGCAGATCGAAAGCCCTCTGCCTTGGTGGGTGGTTTCATAAATTGCTATGGCCAGCCCTTGGGTGATGAGCCTCTTTGGACTTAGGCTCATCCTCAATTGATAGACCCATGTTTGAAACCTGTATGATAATCATGATTATAATATCTCCCATCTACCAAGCACTTTTGCTCATAACATTTCCATGAGGTAGATAATACAAGTTGTGATACACCCATCATACAGATGAGGAAATGGCACAGAGAGTTTGGCAAGTGACTTGCCCAAGGTCATATAGCAGGTTAGTGACCAGGCAGGCCCCTCTATAGTTTCCTCAGCACCTGGTGGTTGTCTACCCATGGGGACCTTAACACCTCTCAAAGCAAAGCATTATGTTGTATAGCTATAATTGCTAGGGCATTGTCTTTCTCTTACAATATCATGATTCCTATAGGAGGTAGAGTCCTTTTCATTAGATCAGGCTGCAAGGTATATTTCTTTCTCTTTTTTAAAAATAATATTTTTACCCAGTTACATGTAAAGACAACTTTTAACATTCATTTAAAAAAATTTGAAGTTCCAAATTTTCACCCTCATCTCCCCTCTCCCTGAGATGGCAGGCAATTTTATACAGGTTATATGTGTGCAGTCATGCAAAACATATTTCTATATCAGTCATGTTGTGAAAGAAGACATAGACCAAAAGGAAAAAAAAACAAAAAATAAAGAAAGTGAAAAATAGTATGCTTTGATTTGCATTCAGACTACATCAGTTCTTTCTCTATATGTGAACATATTTTTCATCATGAGTCCTTTGGAATGGTCTTGGATCATTGTATTGCTGAGACTAGCTAAGCATTCATATTTGATCATTGTGCAGTATCTGCAAAGTATATTTCTTCTTTTTTTTTAATTTTTAGGCAATTGGGGTTAAGTGACTTGCCTAGGGTCACGCAGCTAGTAAGTGTCAAGTGTTTGGTCTGAGGTCAGATTTGAACTCGGGTCCTCTTGACTTCAGGGCCAGTGCTCTATCCACTGCACCACCTAGCTGCCCCAGCAAAGTATATTTCAGAGAGGCTAAGGAGATGCAGTGACCACCCAAGACAGATTCTGAGTATATTTCTCATGAGTGGAATGGGCAGTGAGGGCTAGGCAGAGCCCCTAAACTTAGTCTGCTCTTCTCAACATAGCTGTGTTAGTCATTCCTTCACCATCTCAGAGTGGCTAGCTGCCACTCATCCTCTCTTTATAGTATCTCAGTTGGGTCAGATGTTGGGAATTTCTATACTTTCCCTAGGACCTGCCATCTGGTCCTTTCCTGGACTCTTTTTCAAACTCCATGACTTTCTTGCTAGTCAGCTTCAGAGTTTCATTAGGAAAAAACTTTTTTTTTCTGGAGATATCGAGGGCAATGACTGTCGCATTTATTGGTTCTGGGTTACATGCCAGAGCTTTCTTCTTGTCTGGGATGCCCAGAACTATTGTATTCTAACCTGATCAGATCGCATCTACAGTATAGGGTTCAGTTCTGGACAGCATGTTTTTGGAAGGACATAGATAGCTAGAGAATTTTCAAATGAGGGTCACCAAGATGCCAAAAGGTCCTGAGATCATGCCAAAAGAGAATATGTATAAAAGGAACTGAGGATATACAGCATGGAGAAGAGAAGACTTGGCTAGGGGAGGATGTGATAGTTAGCTCTCTTCAAGTATTTGAGAAGCTATCATTGGTACCCAAAAGGCAGAACTCGGAATAATGGGTAAAAGTTGCAGAGGTAGATATTGACTTGATGTAAGGAAAAACTTTGCTAACTGAGCTATCCAAAAGTGAAATGGGCTGTCTTGGAGATAGTGGGTTCTCCCTCACTAGTGGTCTTCAGACAAAGGCTGTATGACCACTCATCAGAGTGTGTTGTAGAGGACATTCTTGGTTGGACTGGATGGCCTCTGGAGGCTCCCTTCTAGTGTTGGCTCAGATTTTGTAATGTGGCTCTGACCCATTGCTTTTGGTCTCAGACCTCTAGTGAAACCTTTCCCAAATCCAGACACTGGGGAAAGAGGAAGACTAACTAGAAAGTTGCCCTGTGTACCCTACATACTAAGGTATGCAAACACACATGTATTTTCAGGCTCGGTGCACACTGGCATTTTATCTGATGCTTCATCTCTTCTGCAGCATCTGTCCCTAGAGCCCCACATAGTTAGATAGCCCACAGGGGAGAGAAACATTAAAAGGTACCATCTCAGGAAAAAATGATGTTTTCAGCCAAGGTTGGAAATGAGTTGGAGAGTTGATGAGGCGGAGAGCGGCAGAGAGAGAGAGAGGCTGTTTCTGAGGGCAGGATTCTCAAAGGAGGGAGGTGGCAACGGCAGCCCATCTGACGTCTGCATTGGTTGGACTTGCCAGGGCAGTCAGATGAAGCCAGTGTGTGAAATGGGCCAGAAAGAGACTTGAGAAAGAGGAACCTGTGGTGTGACCCAGGACTACTCCATGGTTTTGGGAGATCAATCAACAAGAATCTTAATGATTTTAGCAAGAAGATAATATAGTCCTACCTCACAAAGGGATCCAAGTTATAATTTCTAAGCCCCTCAGCTGCCATTTTTCTCCTGCTCTTCTGATCTGTCACCTCCCATCTGTTCTGTTGCTAGAGCTGCAAGGAGGAGAAAGGGGGTTTTGAACCCCATGCTTTCTAGTGTCACCCGCAAGCCTCGTGCTGAGCGTCTCCACTGATGTTGACAGTTGATTCCGTTTTGGTCTTTTGGCTTTTTTTCACGGGTGGCTGCCTAGACCAACTTTGAGCCATTACTACATCTTGAGACTACACTTAATAAGGTCTCACTAAAAAGTCAAGAGACTCTTTTTATAACAAATGAAACAAACAAACAAACAAATGAAATGAAACCAAAAGAAGCTTATCTTTATCCTTCCCACTGAATCTTGTCCAAATTCAAGGTCATGAGCTTGGAAAGAACCACTAATTCCTATATTATGATTGTTCAAAACATTTTTGGAACTCCTCTTTGAGAACTGTTCACTTTCAGAAGCCAAGGAACCTACAGAGACTCAGAGGAAGCAACATTGGTTTTGATGTGTAATTTCTAATATTTTTGTTAAAAAATGATTACCTGGGAATGCCTTTCTCGCTCTGCCATCTTGGCACTGGAAGTCCCCCATAAAAAGAATTACCCCTTGAACAGATGTTCAGGGGTACTGAACTGCCACAATTCCCTTTGCATGGTGTAATGGATGGAGTATTGGACTGGGAATCAAAAAGACCTGGGTTTGAATTCTGGCATTGGACATTTACTAGCAGTGTGACCCAGACCAAGTCATGTAACCTCTCAAGGTTTCCATTTCTCCATCTGTAAAATGAGAGGGTTGGACTTTATTGATGACCTCAAAGATTCCTTTCCTCACTAAATTTATGATCCTGAGATCTCTTGCACTAGAAATGGTTTTCAGTCAGAATTCTTCTACAGTATGAGAAACCTTTATCCCTGAACTATGAGCAGGAAAGTTTTAGAGGTCCAGGAGTTGGGCTGTATTCTCTATACTGGGGAAATATCCTCCCTTTTTTCACTGGCTTTTTATATTGGGAGATAGAGGGCAGATACAGGGGGACTGTTTTCAGCCTACTCCATGAAGATGTGAACTTCAAATAGCATGTCTCCTAGGTGGAGACGGAAAGCTAGCACTGGGTTATCTAGGGGTAGGATCAGCTAGTGATAATGCTTTTTTCTACCTGTCCTACCTCCCCTAGCTACCATATCTTTCATTAAAGGGCACAAGTGTCAAGTTTTCTGGGAATCAAAGATGGGCCACCCCAGTCACCTTTTTCTTTGTCCCTAGGACCTTGGCATCTTAACCAGTGAGACTATTAGCATTGTAGACCAACTGTTTACTGAGTTGATTTATGCTTTGTCTTTGGACAATGGGGGTTGTACTTTTGTTCCCTACTTGTCTTATGTATCTCGTATATGATGTGTATTTGTGTGCTCTTATAGTATGACTCCACATTTTGTATGCTGTATATATGCTGTAGGCTAAGAGTCCATATGTTATACCATGTAACAGTGTGCTACTCTCTGCCCTTGATAGACTTGTCCTAGAATCTGTAACCTCTCAGAGGCAGCCCTTAGGGGATTCCCTAAAGGTCATAGAAGAGAAGACAGCCCAGGATCTGGAGCGGGAGCGGGCAAGACTGTTGGAGGATCGGAGACAGAAGATGGAGCAGCTACGGGCAGAGCTGTGTCGAGAGGAAGAAGAGGAGATGCTGAAACTTGAGGAGCAGAAGGACAAGTCCCTCAGGTCCTATTCCTTCTCCTTGGGGAGGAAGCCTTCTGGGACACCCCTTTCTCCTGCTCTTTCTCAGTCTCCTTTGCTGGATCCTCATCCAGAACATGCCATCTAACTATAAGTGTCCCTCAGGGTCCTGTCATGGGACCTTTTCTCTTCTCCCTGTCTATTACTTAAGTTAGTGATCTCATCAGTTCCCATGGATTAAATTATCATTTCTGTGCTGATGATTTTGCAGATTTTGAGATGATACCAGCAGTAATGCTTATGTGTGAAGTGCTATGTTTCCTTTCTTCTTAGACCAGAGTTGCTCTTGGCCTGGAAAAGATCCTAGAATCCTAGATTTGAAAGGGTCCCCAGAGGTCATCTAATTCGGCTATTACCAGAAGCGTGAATCTGCTCTGCAAACATCTCTGACAGATTCACTCATCCTTCTTTTGACCTCCAGTGACAGGGAACTCACTACTTCCCAATGGAGTCTGTTCCACTTTTGGACAGCTCTGATTGCTAGGAAGTATTTCTCTATATTGAACCAAAAAGTCCTCTGTAATTTCTACCTCATTCTGCCCTTTGAACTCAAGTAGAACAACAAGTCAGGTCCCTCTTTCACAGATATTTGAAGATATTCAGTTGTTTTGTGCCCCCTGCGTGTTTTCCTCTTAGGTTATACTTCCCCATTGTTTCAGCTGATGGGTGCATGATATGGTTTTGGGTCCCCTCACTATCCTGGTCTTCCTTTATTTTAGCTAAACTGAGGGGCCAAGAACTGAGGATGGTACTCCAGATGTTATCCGACCAGGTCGGGGGCCAGCACACTGCCCCACCTTGTTCTTGGCACCGCGCTTTAGTTAATGCAGCCTCAGATCACATTAACTCCTGAGGTGTTTGAATGTTGATTCACTGGGAGCAGTGGTGTAGCTAATCCCAGACCATTTATATTTGGCTTTGGAATTGATTCCGGTCCTTTTGGCAGTAGATTTGCCTGAATCATTTTATTTTGCTCAGCCCAATATTAAAGTGAGCTTGAATTTCCTGAGCATAAACCAGCTGACAGTGAAGAACCCAGGCAGCTTTAGAAGCATGTTATGTAAATTGGGAGAAGCCAACCTGAGATTAAATAATCAAAGGCTCTAATCTAAAAATCAGATAATCCATAGGTATATAATCAAGAGTTGTCTGTCTTTGGTCTCGGATGATGCTGTTCTGGGATTAGGCAGCCAGCATTCCACCTTTGAGACAAGGAGTACCCCCCAAGTTATTCTTCCTTTTCTCTCCCCAAGAATTAGCAAAGGGAGGGAGCATGTTCTCAAATGGAAATAGATCCATCACTAATCTCTAGGAAGCTTCCCGGTCAGCCATCTTATAGGCTCACAGCAAGGCCCTGTTGACAAAAGAGCAAATAAATTTGAAGTCCTTGCAGCAAACTCTTTTATGTTTCTTTCAGGTCTCTGAGAGAGCAGCTCAAGAAAACAGCTGAGGAGGAAGAGGCTCGAGTGAGGGAAGAAGAGGGTCAGAAACTTTCCAAGCTCCGAGCTCAGATCCTAGCCAGTATAGAAACACAGGAGAACCAAATTAGGTGTGGATCCTATTGTGAGCCCCCCCCAGACTCCCTTGAGAACTCCTTGCCTCATTTTAATTGAGTTCCCTCTTCTTCCCTCTTCCTCAGCTCCCATCACTCAGGTGCCTTCGACCCTTCTCTCTTCCTTCATCCCTATCTCACATGATGAAGTGGTCATACTCTTTGCCAAGGTTCATGCCTCTTCCTGCTCAGGTGATCCCATTCCATCCCATCTCCTCCAACAGACTGTCCCCTCTGATATCCCTATTCTGTCACTTATTTTTAATCTCTCCCTGTCTACTAGCCCCTTCCCTACTCTCTACAGTCATGCCGATGTCTCCTCTATTCTTAAAAAAAAAAAACCCAAAACCCCAAAAAACCCAACCCCACTCACTTGATACCCACTGCTACCTGTCAGCCTCTATCTTTTCAGACCTTTGTGACTGAATTCCTTGAAAAGGCTATCTATAATAGATGTCTACATTTTCTCTCTTCTTACTGTCTTCTTCTTCCCTTACAATCCAACTTTCACCTTCATTATTCCCCTGAAACTGCTCTCTCTGAAGTTGCCAGTGATCTCTTAATTGCCAAATCCAGTGGCCTTTTTCCAGTCCTCATTCTCCTTAAGGTCTCTGCAGCCTTTGACATTGTGGATCACCCTCTTCTGCTTGATATTCTCCTTTCCCTGGGTTTTCAGGACACCCCTTTCTCCTGCTCTTTCTCAGTCTCCTTTGCTGGATCCTCATCCAGAACATGCCATCTAACTATAAGTGTCCCTCAGGGTCCTGTCATGGGACCTTTTCTCTTCTCCCTGTATATTACTTAACTTAGTGATCTCATCAGTTCCCATTTCTGTGCTGATGATTTTGCAGTCTACCTTTCCTGCCAACCTCTCTGTTGGTTTCTAGGCTCACATCTCTAGGTGCCTTTCAGACATCTTGACCTGGATGTCCAGTAGACATCTTAAACTCAATATGTCCAAAATGAACTCATTATCTTTCCCTCTAAACCAACCTCACCTCCCTATTACTGTAGAGGCCACCATCCTCCCAGTTCCTTGGGCTTCCAACCTAGGATTCATCTTCATGATAGCTCAACCCCCATATCTAATCTATTGCCGACGCTTGTTGATTTCACCTTTGCAACATCTTTCATCTACAACCCCTTCTCTCCTCTTATACTGCCAACATTCTAGTATAGGCCTTCATCACCTTAACCTGTACTATTACAATAGACTGCTGGTGGGTCTACCTGCCTCAAGTCTTTCCCCCAAATCCAATCCATCCTTCATTCAGCCACTAAAGTGATTTTCCTAAAGTAAAGGTTCCAACATGTCATCCCCCCTACTCAGTAAACTCCATTGGCTTCCTGTCCCCTCCAGGATGAAATATAAAATGCTGTGTCCTTCAAAACTCTTCATAACCTAGCTCCCTCCTACCTTTCCAGTCTTCTTACACCATACTCCCCCATACTCTAAGTACCCTTCAGTGCAGTGTGACTGGCCTTCTTGCTGTTCTATGAACAAGACACTCCATCTCTTGCCTCTGGACATTTTCTCTGTCCATCTCTCATGCCTGGAATGTTCTCCTTCCTCATCTCTGCTTACTGGCTGCCTTGGCTTCCTTTAAGTCCCAACTAAAATCTTTCCTTCTACAGGACACCTTTCTTGAACTTACCTTAATTCTAGTGCCTTCTCTTTGTTGATTATTTCCTATTTATCCTGTAAATATCCTACTTATTTGAATATATTTGTTTATTATCTCCCTGATTAGATTATAAGCTTCTTGAGGGCAGGAACTATCTTTTGCCTCTTTTTGTATCCCCAGCTTTTAGCTGGGTACTTAACAAATGTTTTTTGATTGATTGCCTGAGAATGGAGTCTGTGGTTTCAGGAAGCTCTCCCCAGTGGTGCTCATGTCTATCCCATTGCCCTCCTGTCTCTCCAGGGCAGAGCAAGAAGCTTCACTGAAGAAAATAAAAGAAGACTGGGAGTCATTGCAGAGGGCTGAGAGGTCTAGCCTGGAGCAGAAAAAGAAGCAGGTGCTGGAGAAATTTAAGGAGGAAATGAAGGGTAATGAAAAGAAAGAGAGGGCCCTCTTGGAAGAGGAGAATGAAAAAGCAATGAGTCAGCTGAAGGAACGACTGCGAGATGAAAGGAAGGAGGTGTGTATGTCTAATTAGAGACCTAATTAGGGTATGGAAACTTTCACGCTAGTGAGTGTCCTTGCCCCTAAAATGGAACTTCCGTTGGTTTACTCTTTGAGGAAGAAAACAGGGATGAGGCCTAGGGTCCAGGTCGAGGCAAGGAGGAAAATTACCCACTCGTCTTTAGAGGTTGGAACAGAATAGAGAGTGAATGTAACTGGAAAGGGGTGACATGGACCCATTCAACCCCAGAAACTCAGAATGGATCTGTCTGATCTGAAGGTGACCTTTGGGAGAGATGGACTTAGAAGCAGCTTGAGAGTTCTTCCCTCAGAAGATGGGAACTGGTCTTGTGACAATAGCCACAGGCATGCCCTCCTCAGTGGTGGCAAATCAGGGTTTAGGGAGAAATGTCCTCATCCCACAATGATCCTATGATTGCTTCAAGCCCCATCCACCTGTAACTGGAGCAGAGTCTCTTGGGAGAATCTTCCCTACCCTCATCCCAGGGGGTAGGTGAGATGACCTCACATTCGTGAGAGCCTTCTTGGCACACTGTTGTCTCTTCCCTCCTCCCTTATCCAGCTAATATTCCCCTCAAATGGGTGTTAGAGCAAATAGAAGGCTGGAAGTTTGGCCCATACTGGCTGTGTGACCTGGCCAAATCACTTAATGTTCTAGGCAACTCTAAGAGAATCTGATGCTGAGCAGGTGATGGCCTATTTTGGGAGAGGAGCTATCCTTATCTGGAATTCCCAGTACTAATGAAATCACAGGGTCCAAGCCACCCTTCTTTCCTTCCCTCCAAAATGGCAAGCTCTATGAACCTTTACAGAGGTTTTCCCAGGGACTTTGGCCATTGGATAAAGGGAAATGAGCTCTAAATGGCAGCAATACCCAAAGCTTTGTAGCTCTTGGGAGATTTGGAGCTGGGGACCTTAGGAAAGTCAGTGACTTTTTTTTTTCATAAATTTGTTTAAACTCAAGAGAGAGATCAGTTTGGCTAGAATCCTGCCCACAACCAAGAGAAGATGAGTCACTGGCTTTTTGGATGCTTACTTGATTGTAAATCATAGAAACTGGAGGAGTAATTTCAGAGAAACAAAGAACCACATGTGATTCTTTAGGCCATAAGTTTATTACTATTATGTACCATTTAATAATTTATAAAGCACTTGAATGTATATTATCTTATTTGATCTTTACTATAATCCTATGAGATAGTAGTAAAAAGTAGTATTAATCCCATTTTATGGATGAGGAAACTGAGGCTCATGGGGTTAAGTATTTTGTCCATGATCATACAGTTAAATTATTGTAAGAGCTGGAACTCAAATCCAGGGTCTTCTGACTCCAACTCCAGGGCTTTTTCTAATATGCCATCAGGTAATGAGAAGTGGTTTTCTAGTATGGTTCTCTCTCTTTGGCAGAGTGTAGTCAAGAACCCACCGTACCTGTACTCTCTTATTGTTCTTTGTTGCTTTCCCCCTCACCAGGCTGTGGCAGCTCTGGAAAAGGAGCACGCAGGTAACCTGGAGAGGCTTCGAGCCTCAGCTGAGGAGAAACACCGTGAGGTGAGACTGTTCCTTGTGACTGCCCTCCCAGTGCACTAGCTTAGAGGTGGATGGAGGCCAGGGATCTTGCTTCCCAAGAGTCAACTGTAGTGCCATTGGACACTGGTCACAACTTAAGTTGGCAAATGAGGTCCCCGCTCAGTGTCCAACCCCATTTCTCCTGGGTGTCCCTACAGAGCCTGGACTCCCATATTCGATCAGTTGTCAGGTTATGTTGGTTCTAGCCCCCCGCATCTCTTACGATGCACTCCTCCCTCTCTCTCCCCTCTCACTGCCACGACCTCGGTGGACTGGACTATTTACAATAGGTCTGTCTCTTTCTTAATTGTTTTTCCTGCTGCTATTTTTTCTCCTTTCCATTCTGTCCTCCGTATGGTTCCCAAAATAAACTTCCAAAGCCACAAGTCTGACCATGTAATCGATCTGCTTAAAAATCTCCTGAGGTTCTCTGATGGTCTCCTCCAGGATCAAACACAGTCTCTCCAGCCCAGCATTTAAAACTCCCCACAGTCTGGCCTTTCTAGACCTAGTTCATATCACAGCCCTTTACACACGCTGTGCTCCAGCCAAACCGATTTTCTTCTTTGGACTTGGTTTTCCATCTACCCTTCTCTGTCCTTTCAGAGAGGGCCTGGAATGTATGCTCTCACTGCCCTCTCCTTTTAGCATCCTTAGCTTCCTTAAGGGCTCCCTCCATTCAGGCGCCACCTCTTATATGAAACCTTTCCTGCTCCCCTGAGCCTCCAACTTGTTAGTGCCCCCTCCAGTGTTGTCATCTGCCCATGGAATGTAAGTGCGTGGTAGGCATCTATTTATTGTATTTATTTTATACTTTTTAAAAAAGGTTTTTAAAAAATTTTTCCCCAATTACATGTAAAAACAATTTTTAACATTCATTTTTAAAACTTTGAGTTCCAAATTCTCTCCCTTCCTCCATCCCCAACGCCCCTCATTGAGAAGGCAAGCAATCCAATATTGGCTATACATGTGCAGTCATGCAAAACACTTCCATACCAGTCATGTGGCAAAAGAAAACACAGACCAAAAAAAACCTCAAGGAAAATAAAGTTTAAAAAAAAGTGTGCTTCAGTCTGTATTCAGATACCATCAGTTTTTTGTCTGGGGATGGGTAGCATTTTTCATCATAAGTCCTTCAGAGCTGTATTGGATTGTTGTATTGCTGAGAATAATAGCTAAGTCATTCATGGCTGACCCTCTTACAATATTGCCGTTACTTTGTACACAGTACATTTCACTTTGCATCAGCCCATACAAGTCTTTTCAGGTTTTTCTGAGAGCATCCTGCTCATCGTTTCTTGTAGTATAATAATATTCCATCATAATCACATACCACAACTTGTTCAGCCATTCCCCAGTTGATGGGCATCCTCTCAATTTCTAATTCTTTGCCCACAGAAATGAGCTGCTAAATTTTTTTTGAAATATAGGTCCTTTTTCTTTTTGTTTTTTTATCTCTTTGGGAATACAGACCTAGTAGTGGTATTGTTAGGTCAAAGAGTATGATGGTTTTATAACCCTTTGGGCATAGTTCCAAATTGCTCTACAGAATGGTTGAATCAGTTCACAACTCCACCAACAGAGCATTAAAGTCTCATCTTTCCCCCATTCCCTCCAACATTTGTCATTTACCTTTTCTGTCCTATTAGCCAATCTAATAAGTATGAGGTAGCACCTCAGAATTATTTTAATTTGCGTTTCTCCTATCAATAGTGAGTCAGAATATTTTTTCATATGGCGATAGATAGCTTTGCTCACTTCATCTGAAAACTGTCCGTAAAATTGATCATCCATCCCTTGGAGAATGGCTCTTATTTTTATAAATTTGACTCAGCTCTCTATATGTTTGAGAAATGAGGCCTTTATTAGAGAAACTTGCTTCAAAATTTTTTTCACAGCTACTGTTGCTAACTGTATTTCCCTCCATCCTATTCTCCCTTTCCCGTTTATTCTCTTTTCTTTCTCCTTTCACCCTGTCCTTCCTCAAAAGTGTTTTGCTTCTGACCACCCTCCTCCCCTAATCGACCTTCCCTCGTATCACCACCTACTTTCCCCTTCTCTTATCACCTTCCCCTTCTGCTCTCCTGTTGGGCAAAATAGATTTTTTAATTTTACACTTATTTATATATTTGTCGTCTTCCTCTGATAGAAGTCAGTTCCTTCATAACAGCAGATATTTGTATAACTTTCCAAGGTTTGCAAAGCTCTTTCCACATCTTACTTAGTCTTCACAACAACCTTTGTGTGAGGTAGGTGCTATTATCATCCCTGTTTTACCGCTGGGAAAACTGGAGCTGATAGAAGTTAAATGACTTGCTGAGGTTTACAAGCTAGGGCGTGTCTGAGGCAGGATTTGAATCCAGCTCTCCATGATTGCAAGTACTGCACTCTCCCCATAGTGCCTGCCACCTCCCTCACATTTATCTTGAGGGCAAGGACTGATTCATTCTGTGTTCACCTCTCCAGCGCCTAGTTCAGTGCTGGGCATGTAGTAGGCACTTGGTAAATGACAGTTGCTTGACGGGAGCTTGATAAATGTTTATGAGATGTGCCCTTCCTGAAGGTAGAGCCAGAGTCTTCTCATAGCGTCATCAATTTAGGGCTGGAAGGGACTTTAGAGGCCTCATTTTACAGATGAGGAGACTGAGACTGTAGAGCTTAATTAACTTGTCCCGGGTCACACAGATAGCAAGTTGAAGGGCTGGGGTTTGAACTGAGTTTCTTTGGCACCAAATCCAGCATCTTTTTCCTATGCTGCCCTGTCCTCTGCTCCTTCCTGCTTCCTTAGCACGATTCAATCCTTCCGCAGGTCATTGCTGGCCTGAAAAAGCAGATAGAGGAGGCCCATCGGAAGGAGACAGCGCAGCTGCAGGAAGAGCTGGCTCAGGCAGAACAGAGAATCCAGCAGAAAGCTTGCCGAGTGACGGAGTATGAAAGAGAGGTGAATACTGCTCTGGGGAGGGAGTGGTGTGGCAGGTCCCTCCAGCTGTCTGTCCTGAGAGGTGGTGAGTGTGTGGCAGAGAGCACCCTGGTTCATGTGGACCCATAAGGCCCCCACTCTGCTTCATACTTCTTATGGCTCATTTTTCTCACATTTGCATGAAGCTTCCCTGGGTTCCCCAGACACTATCCCGAGGGTCTCCCTTCCATGTTCTGTAGTAGGAAGTAGCAAGGTGGAAGGTTTGTAGGGTGAGACTTAGGCTAGGATGGCCCCTTGATGTGCTCATCCTGTCAAAGGTGGGTTTAGATACATGGATCAGTTTTTAAGCTGAGTCTCATAGGCTCGCTGCCCCCTTCCACTGTGGAAACACCCCTGGCCTGCAGAAGGGGTGTGTTGGCAGCATCTCTGTTGTGTGTGTTTACCTGGGCCTCTGACCATGCCCAGTACTGCCCGCTTTAGCCTTTCTGCTACACTGCAGCTCAGCGACCTCCTGAGAGAGAAGAGGGAGGACGTGGAGAAGGACCACGAGCGGAGGATGGACAAAATGAAGGAGGAGCACCAGCAAGTGCTGGCAGAGACCAGGGGGCAGTATGACGAGGAGGTAACCTGCCTGCTGCGTCCCCTTGTGCAGGTTGCATGGCCTTGAGTGGGCAGGGATCTGGGATTAACTATTTGAGAATCACCCAGACAGTTGGTAGCTAGAGAAAGAACATGTGAGAGGATAAGGAATGTTTGCTGAGCTCTTGGTGTATAGGTGGTGGTTCTGGAACTCTGCCCATACGCTTGCATGCACTCTGTGATGCAGCTGCCCTGGCCCACCTCCTGTCCCTCATGGGCTCCTCCATCTCCCGCCTTTGGCCATTGTACTGGCCTTCTACCTCCAGTGCTCTCTTGCCGCTCACTTGCCTCTCACTCCCCCTGGCTTCCTTCAGGACTCATCTCAGATCTCACCTTCTGCTGGAGGCCTTTCCAGGTCTGCCACCTTCCCCTCTGAGATGATCTTTTATCTACCTAGTTGTTCACACGTCATCTCCCCCATTAGAACTGGAGCTCTTTGCTTGCTTCTATCTGTATTTCGAATGCTTAGCACAGTGTTTAGCGTGTAGTAAGCACTTAATATATGCGTATCAACTGACTGACTGACTGATCTGTCTGGGATGGGCTTCCTCAAGGTAGTGGGGAGCACACACTTCAGTGGGAGTCTTGAAGTAGAGGCCAGATGGCCACTTGTGCTATTTTAAGTGGTCTGCAGTGTTCATTCAAGTTCTAGACCATTTGATTCTGTCATTGAGTTATGGCCTGGAGGAACCTGCCCCTCATGCTGAGAGTGGTAGTGGGGGGAAGGAATGGGCATGAAGTTATTGAGGGTGAAGTGAAAGAGAATTGTTCCTTCCTCAAGTCCTTGTCTGTTTGAAAATGAAGGCAGTAGAAGGTTATGGGCATCCAAGGTGTGTGTGTATGTATGCACATGTACACATGCTGTGTACATGTGCATGCATGCGTGTGCATCTGCATGTGCATCTGCATGTGCATGTACACACATGTGTGTGTGTGTGTGTGTGTGTGTGTGTGTGTGTGTGTGTGATGGGGGGAAGTATGCATGTGTGGGAGTAGAGGTGGGGAATAGACTGGGGAATTTAGATTCTTCCTCTTTGACCTTACCCTTTTCTTCTGTAAGGGTTGGCTTCAATGGTATTTACTGTATCATTGAACGTATTTGTCCAAGGTTGGGGGGAAATACTGTGGTCCATCTCTCTATATATGTCTATTATGATACTGTGACAATTCACCTAGCCTGACCCCTTCTTTCCTCTGGTAGGAGAGGAAGCAGCGAACAGATCTTCGGACAAACTTGGCAAATGAGATGGAGCGTGTGAGGCGGGCCCATGATCGGGAGCTGGAGACCATGCGGCGGGACCTGGAAAGGCAGCTCAGTGAAATCCAGCTCAAGCACCGAGAGCAGGTGAGTGAGGGGACCCACTCTGGAGACTCGGGGGCAGAGGAAACATCCTCTCACATTGCAGTGCAGAGCTGGAGAGTTATTGGCACTTGCCTGATTGAAGGTAACGGCAGAATTGTATCTAGAGGAATTGGTTCTGAGCCTGCTCTGTCTACTTTGGGGCCAGGAGCTTTTCTGTCAAGTGGTTTCAGAATACTCAGCCCTGCTCTCCCCGTACGTGTAGAGGCCTGGAGGCAGAGGTTTTGCTTCTCTTCTACCCCGTTGGAAATAGGGTGTGATGCTCTTTGGGAGCATAGTAGAAGGGAGATGAGTGGGAGGAGGGGCCATCAGGTAAGGTCGGGAACTCCAATATCCTAATTACCCACCCCCGAGCTTCGCCTCACTCCTTATGTCCCTGGCATCTTTATTTCCATCTGACCTTCTGTATAGGAAAGGAAGTTCCGGGATCTAGAAGCAGAACTGGAAAGCAGAACTAAAGAGATTCAGGCCAGACTGACCCAGCTGGACCTGCAGGTGAGCACCTTGTGGAGGGGAGAGCACGGGGTGCAGGTCAGTATTCCCAGTGTGCCTTGGTTCTGGCCCTGCCCTTCCTAATTTGGGAAGCCCTGAGAGGCAGCGGAGGCCAGAGTCCCTGTCGTCCCTTTAATCCCATCACAGGAGGACACCATCAGAAAGAAGAAGCAGCAGCTTCTAGATGTAGAGAAGCAGATTGCCCTGGAGAGAGAGGTCTGTGTTACTCCATCTTTAGTCTCTCTCCTTTCCTCTTTTTCCTCCTTTTCCTCTTCTCTCTATTTCTCTCCCTCCCTCATTCTTTCTGGTCCAGTCCAGAACACTGGGATTAGACACCAAAATGGAAATGACTTTCCATATGGGATGGACACTAGGTGGTCATGGCTGTGGTGGGGAAGGGAACAAGCCCTGTGGGACCACTCTGACTTAGAAGCAGCAGAAAAACATGTCTCCTTTTTGCTCTTTCCCCTCTCCTATCGTACTTTCCTGCATCCTGCCTTCTAGGAGTGTGACTTTTCCCCAGTTCTCCTCTGCCTTTTCTCTACTTTGGCCTCTAGAAGGTTCAACTTTCCTTGTGCCTTCAGGAAGCCACATCCACCCACCAGCAGCTAGAGGAAGCGAGGAAGGAGCAAGCCCACCTGGTGGAGTCCACGCGGCAGCTGCGCCAGACCCTCGAGGAGCTGCGATCACGGAAGGCTGAGCTGGAGTCCCAGGTGGAAGTGCTTCAGGCCCGCAGTCAGAGGCTGCAGAGACGGATCAGGTGGGAGCTCTGGGATGCCCTAGCCTGGCTAGGTGGGCACAGCCAGCCGTTGGTTGCGACATCTTGCTTGTGTGCCATTAGCATGGAAATGAAACAAGGTTATGTAGACTCTGACTGCTGGCCTCTTGGGTCCATGGGGGCAGTGAGGTATTCAAACTGATAGGACAATTACTGCTCTTGTTTCCCAAGGAGTGTGTTGGGGTGGTGGTGTGTAGGATTCCCCAGTCTTCACTCAGGAGCCCTGGGAAAGAAATGAGGGAAGGGAATAGGGAATAAATATTTATATAGCACCTACTATGTTCCAGGCACTGTAAGAAGTGCTTTACAACGATTGTCTCATTTGAGAGATAGGTGCTATTATTATCCCCATTTCAAAGATGAGGAAACTGAGGCTAATAAAGTGACTTGCCCAGGGGTTCACAAAGCTCTTAGGCCAGATTAGAATTCAAGTCTTCTTGACTCCAGTCCCAGTGCTTTATCTGCTGCACCACCTAGCTGTCTCCAGAAATGAGTCTGGAATGCCCCAGCTCCCACTTCCAACTCAGGGCTTATGGACTACAGGTGTGACCTAGGGACAAGACTTTATCATGATAAGTGTGTTGTGTTCGGTGTGGCAGTCAAGTGTTTGCTGAATGATGTGGGGACAGATGAACGTGTTATCAGCCTGTTGGTAACATGACTATGTCTCCCTTACCGTCTGTTACAGTGACTTGGAGGCTGAGGCCCAGAGGAAGCAGGATGTTTTGAATGAGCTGGCTGTTGAGGAGACTGTTGCCACTTCTCCACGTCGTGAAGGGGAGCTTCACCTGGAAGACCTGAGGAAGTCTGTTGGGATGGTGAGCCGAGGCCTGCTTTGGAGAAGGATGAAGAGCTTTGCTTAGGTCTGGAGAGTGCATTTGGAGGGACTGTGGCTCGGCTTTGTAGCCTTTAGATCGCTGAGCTTCTGCCTGGTCTGTGACCGTCATTGTGTTTTTCTCAGACCCTCTGGTACCTGTACCATCATACCTGCCTGACTTTTCCCCAGTTCTCAAGTCAAGGGATTTTGCCATTTGGTAGTGACTGTCTAATCTGGCTAGGCATTTTCTTGACTTAGCTACTCCCAAACAGGTCGAGATTCTGCAGGAGATTTGGCAAAGTAGGTGCTAGGGGGGTGTCAGGACCATTTCTGTCTCCAGATTGGTGATGTGGTGCCTTACTCTCCTGCTATTGATCCTTTCTGCTCTTTCCCTCTTAGACCCTCGATAAGGAGCTCCCTGCCACCAGCTCCCAGAACAATGAGGAAAGCACTCCCCGGTTGGATAAGTAAATATTGGGGGCATCCTTTTATGCTCTGTATGTAGTAGGTACTTAATAAATAGTCGTGGAAGGAATCACCTCAAAGGAAGTTTATCACTAGCAAGGCTGGGGATAGGGGTGGGCTCTCAGAAGAGGACCAAGGAAGTTTACTGGAAAGCTGCAGAGCTGTCCATGTTTTCATCGTTGGCATGCCAGGAGTTCGGAGACCAGCTATGTAAGGGAGAGCTTGGGTTTCTGCCCAGTAGCCTGGGGGCTTGCTCCATATAAGGTCAGGAAGGAAGGATTGATGACCCCTAATGGCAGTACCCTGCACATCGTAGTTATCTAGTGCTTAATGACGTGCTATGTAGGTCCTAGCGGCAGGGATGGGGAACCTGCAGCCATGAGGCCCCATGTGGCCACCCTGGTGGACCTAGCCCTTCTCCCTAGTGATTCTCTGTAAGCTGTCATCAGTCCCCGAGGCCGCATCTGCAGGAGCTCCTCTCAGTGACCTTGTACCAAGAGAATCTTATGGACCTGAAGGGCATTGGGAATTTGCATGAGAGCCTTTCATCTCTGACTCTCACTCATCCTGGCCTGTCTTCCCACAGTATCCGCCATTATCTCTCCTCTGAGGGCGTGTCGCTTCGCAGTGCCAAGGAATTCCTGGTCCAGCAGACACGCTCTATGAGGAAGCGCCAGACAGCTCTAAAAGCTGTCCAGCAGCAGTGGCGCCATGATGTAGCCACTGCCCAGGTGACATCTGAAGACTTGTCTAATTCCCATAACCTAGAAGATATCCGAAAGAACATAGAAGAGGTAAAAAGGCCTAAGGGTAAGGTGGGAAGGAAAGCAGAGATCCTTCCATCTGTAGGGTGGGACAAGAGGCTCTCAAGATCCAAAGGAAGGGGTGAGAAGAATCTTGGGGCCCCTCTGAACACTGGGTCAGGAGTATTTTCCCTGAGATGATCCTTCTAGATTCTAGGACAATGGTTTTGGGTGAGGATCAAGAGATTAGGCAAGCTAAAGCAGGCTTCCAAAGCATGGTAACATTGTCAGTGCATCTTCAAAAAATCTTTAAGTCTTTAAGAAAGATATCATGTTGATACTAGTGTATGGCTTTGAACATAACTGAGGCAGCTAGGGGGGCTTAGTGGCTAACAGTGCTGGATTTGGAGTTGGGAAGACCCAAGTTCAAATCCCGTCTCAGAGATGTATTAGCTGTGTGACCCTGAACAAGTCACTTAACTTCTATCTGCCTCAAACTTCCTTACCTCTAAAATGGGATAATAATAACACCTACCTCACAGGATTGTTGCGAAGATCAAATAAAATAACATGTTACAGCTCTTTGCAAACCTTAAAGTGCTATGTAAATGCTAGCACTTACTATTATTAGTATTATTATTATAACAGCCTTTAGCATAAGTTGATTCTGAGGCCCTTTCTTACAAAGAATACTTTTCAGTAGAAGTCACAGACTTAGCCCGATTGGTCAGACCATTTTGATGTTGCTGGCAATGCAGACCCCTTTGGGATATTTCCGTTCTCAATCAGAAGGCTGATGCTACAGTTTGCTTAAAACCAATAGCTTGTGATACAGTGTGGGTTAGAAAGGTGGGGAAGGAACCCTGTGGCTGACCAAATTTGGGCTGAGCACTTGGCATTGACAGAAAGGCTGGCATCCCGTGGGCTGCTTACTGTCAGGCTAATGAACACTGCCACCTCTTCCCGCTACCCATCTGCTCCCTCCCTTCACTGACACTGTTTCTCCCGGCCAGCTGCACTGCTCAGCACCCCGTTGCCAGTCTGATTCTCTCTCCCTTCTTTTTAACCTGACTGCAGGAGACGAAGAACTTGGATGAGATGAAGTCAGCCATGCGCAAGGGCCAAGTTCTACTGAAGAAAAAAGAGGAGAAGCTGAGTCAGCTGGAAAATTCTCTTCGGGAAGAGGTACAGGCCGTCAGGTTCATGCTCAGGGTAGAAGCTCTGTGAATGCATCTTCCTCTTGCTCAGATGACGTGGGTCGTATCTTCTGCCTTGGGGTAGTGGGGTCTAGGGGTGCAGGATTTGGAGAGATGGCATGGGAATACCTGGGCTGGGTTTTGAGATAGGTGAACGGAGGCATCATGCCTGGATCTGGAGTCAGAGGAGCAGAATTAGATTCCCAGCTTCCATACTTGCTAGCTCTGGGACCTCAGGGAGTTTATGTGGCCTCTCTTGACTTCAGTTTCCCCATTTGTAAAACAAGGGGATTGGATTAGATGGCTCCCTAAGGTTCCATGATTTTTAGGAGATAATGGTGGTCTCAGATATGGCTTTTGAGGCTGAGTGTACTTATGGGCCCAGCTGTACCTGCTTAGTGATTCTGAGCACACAGCAATCCTCCCCCCCCACCCCCCATTCGGACCTTCCTGTCAACCATGTCATCACAAAGAGATAATAACTGCCATCCATAGGGTCTTTGGAAAGGTGCTCTGTGCACACAGCTGTGCTGGTCTAAACCCCTGCTACTTTGCTGACCTGCCAGTGGCTAGATAGCCCTGAGGGTTTAGGTAAGAACCAGGGAAAAGGAGCTTCCAGGGGAAGAGGCAGGCCATCTTCTGGGTGAAGGGTGGGAATCAGGTATAGCCAGGATTAGTGGTAGGTGAGCTAGGTAGCTACCTGGGATGGTGCAGTGGATAGAGGACAGGACTTGGAGTCAGAAAGACTTGAGTTTGAATTCTGCCTCAGATACTTACTAACTGTATGACCCTGGGCAAGACACTTAACCTCTCTGTGCCTTGGTTTCCCCATCTATGAATTGAGGATAATGATAGCACCTACCACATAAGGTTGTTAAGAGGATCAAATGAGTTAGCTTATGGAAAGCACTTTGCAAACCTTAAAGCACTATAAAGAGGCTAGCTAATATTATATACTATTGTTATAAATGCAAATATTTTCACTGCCAGAGAATTCTGCTTTCTGTGGCCTTGTAGTTATTTGTTTTGGGTTAAGTTGTGTGTGTTAGCTATGGTGAAGGCTTAGTGTCTTCAGCAAGACAGTAACATATGAGTAACGGTTTGTATACCTGGGAAGGAGTCAGAGGGTTTGAGGGCAGGGGAAGGATCGGTGAAGATTTTTCAAATCTTATCCACAGGTACACAGATACTGGGGTCAGGTCCTTTCACTTAAGAGAGCAACTGATCCCATGTTGGCTACCCTTCCCATAGGTGTCCCAGTAGAATTGTCTTTTCAGGTCTCTTGTTGCCCTTAGAGCAATAAAGTGGTGTCCTCAGACCCCACTGGTTATGTGGGCAGGAGGCATTGGGTCCATAAGAAAGACAGGTCCTAACTGCCTCCTTCTCCAACTAGCTTTCAGATGAGGACACACTGAGAGGAGTTTCTTATAGGAAGATGGTAACATTTGATGTTAGTGATTTTGAAGACAGCAGGAGTGCAAGCCCTGAGACCTCTCCTCTGCCCCATGGTGAGTGGTGTTTGGCTGGGAATGGGGTGGTGACAAGGGTGGAGGAAAAGTCAAAGTATCTAGCAGCATTTATGAAGACTCGAGGGAAGGAAGGTTGAGTTGCCACTGTCCAGCCCTCAGCAGTACTGAGGTTTCTGTGAGTCACCGAGATTTGCTTCCTGGTTGAAGTCTTTCCTGTCCGGTTCCCAGCTTTTAGAATTTCTCCTCTGTTGGTTCTTGCCATCCAATAGGCAGAAACAGCTTTCACCTTGTCTGACCTCTCCACTTTTACCTCATCCTGGCATCTGGAGCATCGGCATCTGTCCTAGAGTCGTGGGCTCCATCCAGTCACAAGTGTGACTGAGCTTGGAGGGTTTTCTCTCTGGATGGACTTTGAGATTCCCACCAGGTCAAAAGCTGAAAAACAACTCCTGTTCATCTCTGCCTTCTTCCACAGACAGGAGGCCATCATGAGAAGCTCGAAACACTAGGTGATTTGGGGGTGGTCCCTGAATTCCTCCTTTACCACCAACATCTTTTCTTTTAGGGGATCCGGTGTCGACCATGCCTTTCCTCCAGCTCAACAAGATCCGGTACCTGAGCAGCTCTTTACAGAGAATCACCAATGAGCTCAATGGAGTCCTGAGCGTCTTGGGCACCCTCAACATCCAGCCGTCCCCTATCTTAACTTCAACACAAGTCCAGATGCCTTCCATGCCCTGCAAGACCACTCCCATCTCCTCTCACCCTTCCATGACCAGAGTTTCGGCACCTACCCCTTTGGCTCCCTCCACTGGTATCCCTCTTCCTACTCAGTGGGCCTGGGACCCTGGAGTAAGCTCTGGGCTCACCTCTTCAGTTGCTCAGTCAGTGGACAACTTTCTGGTGGAGAAGTGGCACAAATATTTCCCAGGTTAGTTTCTCCCAGGGCCCTGTTCCCAGTCTCCAGCTGATTCTCCCTACCTCACCCCTATTGATTGTATCTTCTTCATTGAATAGTTCCCTGGCTCATATAGGCAGTCCGTGGGCCTTTTGGTGAAAGAGATCATGTTGGTCTCAAAATGAAATGAATCTGGGAAATGGAAATTTTGGGAAGCTGTAGGACTTCATGGGTAGTTTGCCTGGAAGATGACCTGATGGAACGTTCCCACTGGATATTTGAGCTGGGAGGTCATCTATACCATCTCTAAGCAAGGATATCAAAAATGTCCCTGCTACCTTAGAGATATGAGTGCCTGGGGAATCTTCTCCCATTTCCCCATTGGAAAAAATGAAATATTTGGAAGTGAAATGGGAAAAGGCTTCCAGAAGAGGCAGCTAGATTAGGATGGGAGTACCAGTTCAGGTTGGGTCCCTGCCTTTCTGTAATTATTTTTTGATCTTTTTCAGCTGGAGTCCCATTACTTAGTGGCAGCCCAGCTCCTCTGGACAATAGGTTGGGCTATGTATCTGCCAGGTAAGCTTCCTGACCTCTTTTCTATAGTCATTGCTATGGATTTAGGCTCATTTCTTCCCAAGGGATGGGGCCTCTGGGGAAAAGCAGATCCAGTCTGTCTCCCAAAAAAGATGGGGAGAGGACCCCCATTAGCATGACTGCCCTCCCTGTCACATAGGTCTGGGTGATTTAACCCTATTCCACACCTGCTCCATCAACTTGCAGGGCAAGTTCCTACTGTCATTAAGAGAGGCATCCAGTGGGAGTAGCTCAGTAGGAGGAAATCCATTGGGAGAAGCCCAGATGCCAGAGCTTACCTGACCCATCTCCAAAGGCTTTCCATTAGAGAAATCTGTCTCATAACAGCTGGGCATGAAAGGTCAGCCCTGGAGTTGGACTCCTTCCTGTGCTTTTTAGCCTTTGGAGCCCAGCTCCCTTAGACAAGTCTCTGAGCTGTTGGCGTGCCCTGGTGCACCCTAGGTAATTGAAAAACAACATCTGGAGTGGGGAAATGAGAGGGCAGTTACTTAAGCCAATCATTATTTTCTCATTTCTTGTCCATCTTTCTTTGCCAGTTCTTCTGCACTGCTCTCCCTCCCCAGTCCCAGCCCCATACCTGCATTTTTCTCCGCACATTCCTTCTGCCCTCAAAAAACAATATTCTGGTTTGTTTCAGAAGGTGAGGTGGGGCGTGTGCCTGGGAGCGTCGGAGCACTTTGCTCCAGGGACTGGCAAAAAGTGGACATATAAGCAAATCTAGATCCAAGACATCAGTGCTCTCCTAAGGGAGGAATCTTCCTCTTTCCCCTCCATATTCCTGGAAAAAAAGATGCTGTTTGATGGGGAAGCTGAGAAGCAGTCAGGTCTTGTCAACTGAGGAGGCTTTGTGATGGAAAACAGATCCAGAAACTGGCAGCAGCTTCTAGCCAGATTGCCTATGCCTTTTTAAATTTCCCCTCACTGGGGCACAGAGGGGGAGCAGATGGGGCCTGGAATGGAGGGGTGGGAGCATCCAGGCTGAGATGATGTTTCTTTTCCACATTGAGCCCTGCAGTTTCATCTTCTTGCTTGGTTTCCATTTCCTTCCCTTCTTTCTCTCTTCTCTTTCTCTCCTCACCCCCGTGGCACCTGTGGGTCAGTGAGCAGCTCCGCCTGTTGCATCGCTCCCACTCCCAGATCTCTCAGAGCAGTGGTGCCAACTTTCAAGGCATGATTGAGTCCAATAGGAAGTGGCTAGAACACATGAAGAAGGACCCCAAGGTGTATCCTTTCAACTTAGCCCTCTGCCTTTATGTGTCTACATTTCTGGTGGGGGGAGGCTGGGATAATGGCATAGGCATAAAGGACGGGTGCTGCCTCTACCCCTGGGGCTTTGGTGGGGATCAGAGGGTGGTCTTCTTTCTCCTTTCCCACTTCCCATGATGTCCAGTCCCTCTCTATTTTTGCTCCAGCCAATCTCAGCTTTTCCTTCACAGTGTTACCAGACCCCTCTTCTCCACCACACCCAAGCCCTTGGTGACCTCAGGCCTGCTGCAGCTGGACCTGGATGAAAACCGCAAGCTGAAGGTGTATCGCTATTAAGGCCTCTGGGGCAGTAGGGCATAGGGCTCTCCAGGCATCCCTTTTCTTAGACCAAGTGCCTAAGGAGCTTCCTGCACTTTATTGTCCCTGATCCATCATTCCTCTGCTGTACAAGCCTTACCCTCTCAGGACTTTGGAGGAAGGCATAGGAGCAATGATGGGGTAGGGGGCAGTGGGAGGAATGTAGCAAGCCACACCCTCTGAGAACCCCATAGTGTATCCCAGATGGAAACATTTTGAGCTTCCATGGCCCATTAAGGCCTGCATTATCATGTCAGAGCAGATGAGACGAGACTGACAGCCCCAGTGGAGGAGGGGGTGGTGGAGCTGGACCCTTTCATGGATACCTGATGGCAGAAAGCCAAGAGAACCCCTTCAGGGAGTGGTCTAAGCCCTGCCAGTGAGCTGATTCTCTCCCTCAAGTCTCTAGGGTATTTTGGAGAGGTCCAGAGTAGCCAGTTTTGTGATTCTCGATGTACTGGGGGAGATCAGGGTGTGGATGAATCCCCTCTCCAAAGCATGTTCACCCCAGGACTTGGTGCTTCTTGGGGACTAGCTCTGTTCTGAATCTGTTTCCTTTGAGCTAATACCTCAGCAGTAGGGCACCAGGCCCTCTGTTTTTTATAATGACTCCTTTTTTGCCCAATGACTTGGGCTATCTCAGGTTTGTGGTCAGCTTTACAGAGCCTTTCCCTGAGGCTGATTGATGTGGGGTTCCAAGGAATGAGGCAACTATGAGTCTTCCCCCTGTCTTTGCTATGCTTACCGCATGTGACTGAGGGAATCATTTTCCACCTTTATCTCTGAGCTCCCACCAACAGAATGGCCCTATCCTTGGGCTTGGGGAAAGGAAGACTTTGGGAATCAGACTCCATGGAAGGATGCAGCAGGGGCAGACCTCTCTTGGGATCCCATTCCATGACCCTCAGGCATTAAGGTTATGGCTTCCCCCAAATAGACAGCTAGCCATTAGAAAAGTGAACGAGGTTGTCCTCAGCCTCATTGCAGTCATCTTTTCATTTCTCAGGTCACCTTGAGTATTTGTAGCCCTTGCTTTCCTCCTACCTTTTCTCACCAAGCTTGTTTGGATAAACACATTTGCATTTCAGCCAACATTCTTTTTCTCTCTTCCTGCCCCTCCCCTCTAATCTTTTGAGTTTTGCTGTAGACTGTGAGGTGTCTTGTACCCCCTTGAAGTCTCTGCATAAAGGGGTGGGGCAGGAGAGGAGCAGATGAGCAATCAGAGAGGGGGTCTGGAGCCATCTTGGCCCTGGGGAGAGGGTTCCCTGCAGGTCCCCTTCAATCAGCTGGCAGACAGATGGTCTCCTTGATGGGGTTTGGTGGGGACTTCCGTTGAGTTTGGCTCTCTGTTTGGAGGAAGTCTAAGGCTGTGGAGTTGTGTTTAGCACTCCTCAGCAGGGAAACCAGCCTCTCATCATCTTTTTTCATGGAGCAGAAACCTGGGGAGTGGGTTGCTTTTTAGCCCCTCCCCCACCCCCCCAGGCACTACACTGAGGCACAAGCCCCTCCTCTCAGAGGAGTCCCTTTTGTTACTTGACTGATGCTGTGTGGTTTAGGAATGGCTCCTGTGTGCTTAACAACTGTGGTGACAATCCGGCTTGTCTTGCCCCGTGTTTTGTATATCAATTAAACCTCCACGGGTCATTTTTCTACAGCTCGGTAGTGTGGATGGTGTTTCTTTCTCTGTCGTCTCCTCCTTCTTCGGAGTGCTGGGATGAAGGGTGGGTTGACAGCGTGACTCCGCCATCTTGGTACTTCCTCTGCTTCTTAGGAAGTGGTAGAATTCTTGTGCCACTTTGACTCCTGGAGCTGTGGTCTGGCCCAATTCCCCAGTTCTCTGGGGGAGAGACATGAGCTGACCTCTGACTGAGGCTAGGAATTCCCCCGTCTTTTGAAACAAATGTGAGCCCAGAGAAACTGCTCCTGCCTGGGGCGTCTAGAAAAGACTGGGGGGCCTGCCCAGCTGTGAGGTCCTTGAAGGGCCAAGGGGAGCTTGGGTTGAATAGCTTGTGGTTAGTTGAATTAGCTCACCCTCCCCAGAGGACTTCTGCTGTAATTATGTCCTAAAGCTGTCCTTTGGGTCCCCAGGATCCCCATCATTCATAAATGCCCTTACTCAGTGTATTCACCTGTGCAAGCTGCTATGGAGGTTACATAGTTGGAGAAGGCATGGTTCCTGCCGTTAGGGTATGATATGTACACACAGCCCAAGGCTGCAGGATGTTTTGAAGCTCTCTAAGGGGTTGGAATGGTGGGCTAAAATGAAGATGAAATTTGATCTGAATAAATATAAAGTCCTGCACTTGGGTTAAAAACCAAAATCAATTGTGCAAGTAGCGAAGAGGTGAGACCTGGCATTGGTTTATGGGGAAAGGACCTGGGAGTTTAAGTTGACTGCTAACAGAATACAAACGGGCAGCATGATACCAAAGTCAGAAAGGCTAATTTGGTCTTAGGTTGCATTAATAGAAGGCATAGTGTCTAGAATAATGAGGGTGCTGGTTTTCCTTTACTCTGCCAGTGAGAGCACATTTGGAGTTTTGTGTTTAGTTATGGGAACCACATTTAAAGAGACACATTATTAAATGAGCATGTTCAGAGATGGGCCAGAAAGGGGCTGAGCAGGACTCAGAATCTTTAAAGGACAGTTGAAAGAACTGGAGGGAGCTCTGGGCTTGGAGTCAGGAAGAGCCGTGTTAAAAACATACCTGGCACTTACTAGCTATGTGACCCTGGGCAGATCTCTTAACTTTTGTTTGACTTAGTTTCCTCAACTGTAAACTGGGGATAATAAGAGCACTTGCCTCTCAGGATTGATGTGTGAGGTATTTGTAAAGGGCTTAGCGCAGTGCCTGGCACACAGGTGGGCAATAGAAATAAAAACGCTTATTCCCTTCCGCCTTAGGGAAAATCTAAGTGGGGAACATAGTAGGCTTAAAATATTTGAAAGGCTGTCGTAGAGAAGAGGGAACGGATTATAACTCTTTGTGGCCACAGAATAGCGCTAGGCACAGCAGGTGAAAGTTACAAGGAGGCCGATTTCAGTTCAAAATAAGGAAAACCTTTTTTCTGAGCCGTCCACCCTGGCCTCGAGGACTACCTTGGCTGTCATCTCCCTATCCCTAGAAGCGTTCAGGAAGAGGCTGGATGAGCCCAGGGATGGATTAATTGGGAAACTGGATGTGATGGCTTTTAAATTCCTTTCCATTTCTTAGGATTTGCTGATTCAATAAATGCCCTGTGAGTGGTACAGACAATAAATGTTCGAGAATTTCAGGGTGATTGACAATCCAACTCCCACATTTGTCTCCTTTAGTCCCCTCTGCCTCTTGTAAGATGGGACCCCAAGTGAATACTTCCTAAGCATGTAGCAAGTATAGATTTCTTACTAGGAGGGTCAAGGGTACGTGTGTGTGTGTGTGTGTGTGTGTGTGTGTGTGTGTAGAAGGGACTTGATAAGGAGGAAAAAGTTAACTATAGTCCTAAGGTATATGATTCTGTCATAGAATTGATCAAGAATGCTTAGGCTCTCAGCCTTAGTTACTGCGTCCAAATATTTTGGGTTTGCTTAGGGCACGTTTCTAGAGCCATGCTCTGGGCAACTCTCCCTATTCTAAAAAATATTCTGACAATGACTTTTGTCCCTGGAGTGTCACTTGAGTGCCTCAGAGTGGTGCTAGATTCTGAGGCCAGTGGGGAAGACAGACAGAATACTGAGTCTATCTGGTGTGGTACAGTAGACCAGATATACTGGAATTGGAGTCAGCAGACCTGGGTTGGAATCCTGATTTCTTCATTTGCCCCATTTTCCTCACCTGTGAAATGAGGGGTAAGATTAGCTAGCCCCTAAGATCTCTTCCAGCTCTGAATCTGTGATCCAAGGATGCTCTGGAAACAGACTCCTGAGGAGCACCACTACTAGGTCTGCCATGTGACAAATGGCACTGAGGGGACCCTTTTAATAGTGGGCAAACCCCACTTCTCACCCAGAGGCTGTAGAGCTACTTGCTCCCTATTCTTCTGGCAAGTTTTTTTTTTTAAACTAGACCTGTCGTGGCTAATTCAGAATTACACTTTGCATGTATAATGGGTATCATTTTTTTCTTGCCTTCTCGGTGGGTGGGGGAGGGAGATAATGTGGAACTAAAAATAAAATTAAAATGAAAAAATAAACTAAACCTGTGATTCCATCAGTGTAAGGTGTTCCTGGTGAGGAACTTCCTCTGTCCATGGGATTTGGCACCTGCTTTATGATTCCAAGGGTTGCCTGGGGTATTGAGAAGTTAGATGCCTTTCCCAGGGTCACACAGTTAGCATGAGTCAGAAGCAGGGCTTGCATGCAGGTCTTCCTGACTGAGATCAGCTTTCCACACCTTTTTAAAAAAATTTGAAATATATGTATTTTTAACACCTCAGGTGTTAACAATGTTAGAGCTGGAAGGAAGAAGCTTTAAGCATCCTCGAGTTCAGGAATTCTTAACCTGGAGTCTGGGAATTGGCTTCTAATTTAATCATTTACTTCAGTATAATTGGGGGTGTTTGGTAATTCTATGTATTTTGTTTTATGCATTTAAAAACATTTTTCTTAGAAAGGGATCCATCACTTATGATGAAAAATGCTCTCCCTCTCCAGAGAAAGAACTGATGGAGCCTGAATGCAGGTGGAAGGAAACCTTTTCTTTATTTTTTGGTCTTTCACAACACGACTAACATGGAAATATGTTTTGCATGACTGCACATGTATAACCAGTATCAAATAATTTACTTTCTCAATGGAAGGGGGGAAGGGAGAGAATTTGGAACTCAAACATTTTTAAAAATGAATGTTAAAAATTAATTTTTACATGTAATTGGGGAAAGAATAAAATATTAAATTAAATATAAAGGAGTCCATCCACAGGCTTTACTAGGTTGCCAAAGGGGTCTAGGAGCTCCTGCTCTGGTTCAGTTCCCTAATTTTAGAGGTAAGGAGAACAAGGCTTAGGTTAAAGTACTTATCCAAGGTCACATAGGGTACTGAGCAATGTCTAGGATTACGCTTATGGAGTGACAGATGAGGAAACTGAGGATCAGAAAAGGTAATGTGATTTGTTCAAGGTCACATTGTCCACTAAATACTGACAGATTTGGAGTTAGAATCTGGGTCTCCTAGCTTCTGGTCCAGTGCAGTTTTCATTAATTGGCAATGTTTTTAGGGTAGTTCACTCTGTCATGTCCTACTTTTACCTCCCCTCCTTGCCGAAAGCCCCTACCAGCCAAAAGCAGACAGCTGCATTTCCCAAAAGCTATTTGGCATTGCCTTCCTCCACTTTCCCCTTAAATATAAAAATAACCCTGAAAAGTCCTAGGCTGCCAAAGTTACAGTGGATTTTTTTCCCCTGTTTCAGTGGAGCAACCTGCATGCATCCTCAAATTAGTAGCAACAAATTTTCAGGGAAACCCAACGCAGATGATCATATGTTATGGATCTGCACCCAAAAAGGCAGAATTTTAAAATTCTATTCCATTCTTCCCTAAGCTGTCCCAGCTCTCGTGCTAAATAGGGGCAGTGTTTGCTATCCCCTGATATATTCTGGCCCAGTTTTTTGTGTGCCAACTGTTTGGAAAGGTCTCTTGTAGGCTGGGTCAAGAGGGTCAGATCCCAGATAAGGACAGATCCCAAATAAGGACATGCTTTCCAGGAGTGGGACTGAGTTGGGTTTGTGAGCTGGGGCAGTAAGAACTTAGTAGGTTTGTAAGAGGACCGTTTAGGGGGAAAAAGCAGTTTTGCTCTCTGCCAGAGGGTATATGTGAATGTATGGAACCTCCGAGGCCATCTAGGCGATCCTATACTGAGCAAGGGACTCCTTCACAGAGCTGGAACTAGAAATTCTGATACCGGGGCAAATTCAGTAGGTGGCATGCAGCGGGGTGCAGGGTGTCTGAGTATGCCCACTTCTCTGTTTGGTTGATCGAGAGGCGTAGACAGGTCATGGAAGTTGACAAGGTTGAAGATATAGGAATGTTTGAAGGGCCTGGGGTTAGGGTGGAGAAAAAGACTGTGAGGCTAGTACTGAACTTATTGGGAAGAAGAAAAAGGAACTCAGAAGTGCATAGATGTCAGTACTAAGGAGTTAGGTAGGATCGAGAGAACTTTAAAGGTGATTGCTAGGTGAAAAAGTGGAGGTCATGTTTGAAAGGGCACTGGAGTGCAGGGGGTACATCAGCTCTTCCTCCTGGACCTGTGTGTCCACGCTTGGGAGAGAAGGAGTAGTTGTATTTGGAGACGACGTCAAGCGCTGTGGCATCTTCAAGAGTGATCGAGCAAGCAAGGGGTTTCAGTGGAGCCTCAGAAGATGGAAGGAATGTGAAAGAGATGTGGGATCGTCGACTTGGAACTAGAACTGACCTTAGAAGTCTTTTTGTCTAACTCATTTTATAGATAAGGACATTTTATAAGGGGGGGAGAGAGAGAGAAAGAGAGAGAGTTACCTTGTGAATGGCCTCAAACAGTGAGTGGCTTCAAAGAGTTCCCCTAAATCTAAATTCGGCACTTTCCAGGGTACCGCAATAGCACAAGGATGCAGAGGGCATAGTGGAAGAGGGAATGGAGAGTGGGAGAGAACTACTGGTGAGTTGGTTGGGAGAGATAGGGTGGCAGCCATCGTCCCACAT